TAAATGTTAACTATTAGTATTTTAATTTCTTCAACTTTTAATTTTTTTAATTTTGAATATTTATTTTTTTAATTTTGATTATTATTTATTTTATTTGATATAATTTATAAAATTATTTTTTTTCAATTGCATTCTCATTCAATTTTTTAATTTGTAAGATTTGTTCCTCATTATTTTAATAAACTTGAGAAAAATAAAAAATTAATAATTTATTTTTCATCTTATTTTTCATAATATAACCAAACACTGAAAAATATTTTTTAACTTATTTTCCATTACACTAGCAAACATTAGAAAATAATTCATTTTTCTAGAATTTATTTTTTTAAAAAAACTACTTTCCTGCAAACAAATGGGGTGTAAATAAAAAAAAATTAATTGATTACTTTGACTTAATTTCTAGAAAAATTTGAATTAATTTTTAGAAAAGTATTTTTCTTTTATTTTGAATAAAAAACACTTTTTAGAAACTATAAAAAATTGAAAAATATATTATTATTTGTTAATTATATAAAATTTGATCCTTAATTTTTTAATTTTTTTATATTTTATTTAAAATATGTTTTTATTTTTATCCAGTAGAATTTGATTTAATTTTATTTTTTTACTAACTTTGACTTTTATTTTTTTGATTGTTATTTGTTTTTCTCTTATTTTTTTTAAGTAAAATTTTTTATCTATTAAATTTGATCACTATTTTTTTAATTATTATTTATTTTATTTGAAATAATTTACAAAATTAATTTTTTAATTCATCATCTTTAATTTTTTTATTTGTTAGATTTTGTCATCATTCTCTTGATTATTATTTATTTTATTTAAAATAATTTATAAAATTAGTTTTTTAACTTTATCCTCCTTCAAAAAATTTTATCTATTAGATTTGGTCTTTATTATTTTAATAAACTTGAAAAATATTTAAAAATTTATAAGTTTTTTTCTAGTTTATTTTTTAAGATATAATCAAATATTAAAAAGTATTTTTTTCATGGTATTATCTAAACATTAAAAAATAATTTACTTTTTAAAAATTTATTTTTCATTACAATAATGTTTTAAAATGAAATAAGTTTTCAAAAAACAAGAGGACCTGAATAAAATCTTTAGTTGTACTATTTCTTTAATGAATTTTAATTTAATAACTTAGTTATTGTTACCTTTTTCAGCTTTTAAAATGTAAAATCAAAACTAAATTAAACTTTTTTTTTTAAATAATCGAAATTATCTAATAATTTCTTTTAAAAATCATTCCGTTTGATCGATTAATTTGCTAAGTTCTGTTTCTAATAATTGTTGCTGCAAGAATACGCTTATCCTAATCCTAGTATTCAGGTTTCTTTAGGAATGTGGTTTAAATTTTTCTTTCAAATTTTAAATATTTTTATTACAAATATTTTTTTTATATTTTTAAATTATTCTAATATATTAATCTTAAAAAATATTATTTTAATATATTTATAAGTAAAAAATATTTTAAATGATACATCTTAAATAAACCAGTTAGATTGACGAATTAAAAGCAAGAACCCGACTAGACTGAGGGTGTTTCACGAGTTAAAACACTATTTATTTAATATTATATTTTTTATTTAAAATTAATTTTTTTTATAATTTTAGTGTATTAAAATTGAAAATAATTTTTTTATAAAATATTATTTTAATATATTTCCAAAATAAAAAAACACATGCAGAAAAAAATTACCTCAAACCTGTTAACATCTTCAACATGAGTCGCCACCTTTTCCTAACATCTCACTTCTCTCCCCCTTGGAATCCTCACAGCCAGAAAAAGTTCAACATCGTCAATAAAAAATGGCATTCACAGAGTTCAGGCCGCTGGCCGAGAAATCTTTAATTGAGTACATTAAGGCCACTTCTGTTTTGTCAGATAAGATCGGTAACAATTTCGGTGACTTGAAGATCAAAGAAGTCGGTGATGGGAATCTCAATTTCGTCTACATAGTCGGTAGTCCATCTGGGTCTTTTGTCATCAAGCAAGTAAGTGAAACAAATGGGGTTGGGTCTATGTTTTTTATTTCGTGTTTAAAATCCATGTGGGTTTGTTTTGTTATGGGAGAACGTAGAGAATGAAGTGAATTTGTAATTTTGAAGTCTTTTTTAGGCCCTCTTGAACAAGCACTTCTTAAGAAAAAACTAATAATGTGTTATAACTTCTTCAATTTGTATTTGAACACTATAGGGGGTCAGTGTTTCAATGCTACGATATGTTAAACGACCAATTAATTTATATCTCTCTCGCATTATCTCGTTGAATTCGCTTAAAATTTTGAATTTCATCATGTCTGCTACTAGATGACATAGTCAGTTTTATAAGTTAATTGTTAAGTTAATGAGATGAGATACAAATTCAGTGTTCAAAATAGTTTTTCGTTTCATATGAGGTAAATGGGATGGAAATATCTGGGATTATATTTGAACTGGTTATTTGTTGTTCTAATCTAGTAGTGTTTATGTTCAGGCACTTCCATACATACGATGCATTGGAGAATCATGGCCAATGACAAAGGAAAGAGCATATTTTGAGGCTTTGGCACTCAGAGAGCATGGCCGATTGTGCCCGGAAAATGTGCCTGAAGTTTATCATTTTGACCGTACTATGTCTGTGATTGCTATGCGATATTTGGAGCCCCCACATATAATCTTGAGAAAAGGGTTGATTGCTGGAATTGAGTATCCCTTGCTAGCAGAACACATGTCTGATTATATGGCAAAGACTCTTTACTACACTTCGCTTCTCTATCGTACTACCACTGAGCATAAACGTGATGGTAAGTAATTCTACTCTGTTGTTTATTATTTTTTTTTAATTTGCTATTTGTCATATTCAGTTTCTCACTGGTGCATTGCAAATGGCGACCTTGAAGAAATGTTTCTGATGTGCGCACTATAAATGCTCTATGCAGTTGCTGAATTCTGTGGGAATGTGGAGTTATCCAGGCTTACTGAGCAGGTTGTTTTCTCTGACCCATACAAAATATCTCAATATAATCGTTGGACTTCCCCTTATCTTGACCGTGATGCCGAGGCTGTCCGTGAAGATAATATTTTAAAACTCGAAGTTGCTGAGTTGAAATCCATGTATTGTTTCATTTTTGTTGCTCAGTCATTTCACAAGATGTAACGGGATGTCCCCTTTTATTAAGATGATCATATGATTTACCAGAGTTTTTTTTCCCTCATAGGTTTTGTGAGAGAGCCCAAGCCTTAGTACATGGAGATCTCCACACTGGTTCTGTCATGGTTACCCATGATTCTACTCAAGTTATAGATCCAGAATTTGCATTTTATGGTCCAATGGGTTTTGATATTGGAGCTTTTATTGGAAATTTGATTTTGGCCTTTTATGCTCAAGATGGGCATGCTGATCAAATGAATGACCGAAAAGTATGTCTTAGTTACCATTATGTGCTTTTTAATTTTATTTCCTTTTCTCTTATTTTGAAATGCTTTCTCCATAACCTTCATTTATGTATCAACTAAAAATATTTTACAAGTGCCTAATTTTGTATTTATATCTTATTCCTCTCTTTATTTGTGGGATGTGCTTCTTTTAGGTCATGTTTCAATAAACGAGGAGGTAGTTTCAGTTTGCTTATGAACTGGAAGGCACAACGTTTTACTTTGTAATTCATTTATTATCTGTTGTTTGTTGAGGTTTGTCTCTGAAAGTTGTACTCGTATGCAGAGATATAAAGAGTGGATTTTAATGACAATCAGAGAGACCTGGAGTCTTTTCTACAAAAAGTTCACTGCACTCTGGGATGAGCACAAGGATGGCTCTGGTGAGGCATATCTTCCAGAAATTTATAATAATCCTGAGCTTCGGGTGCTTGTACAGAGAAAATTCATGCAAGACTTGCTCCATGACACCTTGGGATTTGGTGCGGCTAAAATGATAAGGTGAGTTGACATGTGTTTTCCTAAAATTCTTGTACTTAAAGAACTTATATTTGCTAAAATGATAAGGAAAGTTATGCGGCTTGTTTCACCATCCCGTCTATCATGAGACTACATCATCATATATGTTTCCAGGACATGGTCTTTTTCAATTTTAACTTTTGGCGTTGGTTTTAGACTTCTATACAATACATTGTTTTTCAACAAAAAGCTACTCTAGAAACCTTATTCCAAACTAGTTAGGGAAAACTGCATGGCTGCTTCTTCACCTTTGGTCCCATGTAAAGCCACTAAATAGATCATTAATGTTCACTAGGATCTGAGACTATTTAGGAAGTCTAAACAGGGGGGGACATCTTAAGTTGGGAAGACAAAGCTTGATATCAATCAGCTTTTGGCCTGGGAAATGGACGTAAATCATTTGGATCATGTGATCTTTTGAAGGAAAGAATCCATCATTTTTAGTTTTAGTGATGCATGACCTACTGGAAAACTGATTATAACTTGGCTTGTAGTGGGAAACTGCAATTTCATAACCGGATTGTCCCATCTTATTTTTTTGTGAAATTAAATCGTCCTATTTCTAAGAATGTGTTAAATTGAATGCAACATGTTGATTTAAATCTTTGCATGACAGGAGAATTGTTGGCGTAGCCCATGTTGAGGATTTTGAATCAATTAGTGATGCTAGCAAACGAGCCAAATGCGAGCAGCAGGCTCTTGACCTGGCGAAGGTGGTTCTCAAAGAAAGGAAAAAATTCCAATCCATTGATGAAGTTGTATTAGCCATTCAGCAAGTGCAGTGATGACATGCTTGGGGGTAAAGTTTTGGTTTAAATATTGGAGCTTTGGTTGAGTTGTTTTCAGTAAAAACGCAGTTCCCGCAACATTATATCAGATTGTAATTTTCCTCTGAAGGAAAAGAAATAAATCTGCATTCCTCCTCTGTGAGAGTAATTTAATAATTTTCTTGGAACTCCTTCCGTTTCCGTTTTTGTAGGATCACTGGAAATGCGTTCTCTATCTGACTCTCGGGGCCGGCCATGGCCAATTTGAAAGCAAATGGAAAAATGCATTTCATCTTTTAAATTGGATCGATGGATGCGTACATGTATGGAGAAATGTCATTGCAGGAAATCAAGGTCGCTGAAAGGAAACTAATTTTGAAGTGATCGTTCTTAGAAGTTGCCGCTGCAATTGTCCATTATATATTGATGCGAGCAATTACAAGCGTGCAACATTCTATAATTTCAGCCCTTTATTAACTAAGCTCTTCCATATTCCGTACTTGGCCTTGTAGTTTCTCCAAAGCTCATCAACAGTCTTCCCCAGCAGATCAACAAAGTACTGAGCACTATAACCAGTTCTCATCTTATTGTTAAGCTCTGCCACAAACCCATTTCTAAGATCATTACAATAGTCCAAAAACCTAGCAGTAACATCATACCCTTGATCCCACCTATCACCCTGCCCTGGTTGCACCCAGTGACTAGGTGTGTAATTAGCCTTTAACCTTACAAAATCAGCGATCCCTTCAATTAATCCTCCTGGAGTTGTTCCGTTACCGTCCCATTGCCATATGTGTGCCATTTCATGGTAAAGCACCCCACTGAACTCTCTTTCCAGATCACCAGTGTAGTTCCCTATGTAATTGCTGCTGACATGAATCTCATTGTTATCAGCGTATGCAACACCATCCATGTCATCTATGAACAAGTCCACCCTATGAACATTTTTTCTATCTGCTGGGTTAGTCTGTTGGAAGATACTCCATATGAATGCTGTTGCGAACGCTAGTATATGCTTGCTATGATCCACCCCGATGTCACCTGCGAACCTGGCTCCACCAGCCGTTGCACAAGCGTTGTTGGTGACAGTGTAGGCCGTCAAGTCCTCGGCTGCAACGGTATTGGTTGCTAGTATTACAAGCAAAGAGAGAAACAGATGCGGTGAAAGTACCATGGTCAAGAAAGAAGAAAGAAGTGCACTATATATATAGTTCTTCAGGTTGTGTTTGATTTGCACTGGATATGAGTTGCTGCTCCATGGTTTATATAGGGAGTGAGGCACGACCACAGTAGCAAGCGGTTCAGAATTATGTAAATGTTCAGCCGGCCGACAACTAGTCCCTTTTCTCCTGTGAGGATGCGGCCATGAGGATTGACAGCTAGTCCCTTCTCTCTACAATGAAGGGTGGGTAAAGAAAAATAAAAGCAACGAGAACCCAATAAATTAATCTCTTGGTTCTGCATTTATAAGAAGTTTTACTTTGAATCTAATTAAAAGGTTAATTAAAAAGTTGGAAAATATGTTTGTTAATGACATATAAGATGTTAATTATGTTGCTTGTTCTTCATGTTTTCTAAATCTCATGATATACCATCAAAACCCATATCTAAGAGTTAAAATTGTACATTTTACTTAAAACAAGATTGTTTTGCTAATCAATATTATTTTTATTAATTATTATGGTGAATAAAGAATTAGATTTAGTTAAGCATGTGCTTATGAATTTTCTTTAAGATAGAAATAAAAAATGTGTGAGGTAAATTGATAAGTAACATGAAATCATATATTTAGGCTACATTTGTTTTGCAGAAAACATTATTAAAAAAAAAAAAAATTCTCCCTCTTTCATATTTGGTGAAACTTAAAAAAATATTCAAGATATTTCTTTGCTAATCTCTCACACACACAAAATCCTATATGCTCCACTTGGGTGGATTTGTTTTCCACATTTCACAAAGAACAAGCATTTTCATAAAAATTCTTAAAAAACATTGTATTTATTTGTTAATTTTCTTTTAATTTTTTGGAAAAAGGATTAAGAAATGAAAAACTAAACAAAACGTGTTTACTTATTAAGAATGAGATTTTTTTCTTCTTGGAAACATGTGTTTTTTTAATTATCCACTTTTAAAAAAATTGAAAACACAGAGATTGTTACTTTTCAAATTCCCCACTAACAAGACAAAGATTTTATTTGGTTCACCTAATGTTTTGTTACAATGTTTGTGGGGAAATGTCCATTATCAATGTCTTTTAGCCATGCTGCTCCCAGCATATGACGAAGGCGATCAGACAAAAAATGACTATGGTCCTTCTTTATTAATACCATACCAAAGACCAAAGACCATGCAGGAATGCAGATATATATATATTACCAACGCATGAATACATACAATGCAGGCAAAAAAAAAAAAAAAATGTGAGCCGGGTTGCGTGGATTGACCTCTTTATCGTTTTTTTCCCATTGTACGTCAAACTTGGACCACATATTTGTGTGGAACGAATATTTCATTCACTAAATAAACAGAGGATTGCAATGTTTACGGAATACAATAAGTACTGCAAGCAACACAAACTGGGACCTCTTCTAATCACACCAATTGTTTTAGATACTTAAGTAGTTTATGTGTGGGTTGAATTAATTTTTTAATATGAAAAAATATTTAAGTTATAAAAAATTATTTGATATTATTTTTAAATTTGATTCTATAAATTATCTTGAAATCTCTTGATTTGACTCGTTGTATAACTTTTAAAATTATATTGTGTGAAAGTTATCTCGATAAATTCAGTTGACTTGATTGGTTTAAAAATAACTTAAATAATTATTAAAAAAAATATGAGGATTAAATTGAAAAAAATAAAAATAAAAAGAAAAAAGAAAAACAGAGTTAAATTGAAAAAAAAAGAAGGAAATCTTTGGAATGAAACTCCATAGACAGAGTTAAATTGAAAAGAAAAAAAGGAAATCTTTGGAATGAAACTCCATAGAGAATCCGGTAATCCAGATATACACGCACACATATTCATATGCATGCACATGCAATAATATGTCCATCTCCTTTCACATGAAGATTATTCATAAAAATCTCAAGTGGGGTCAAGAATGATCGACTTTTGAAATGGAGGTATGAGCTTAATTGTTGAGTTTCTCAAACCATATACATATAGCAAAAATAATAAGTTAATTTTTTTTTAAAGAGTTCTAAAGATCCCATTAGAAAAATCTAGAGTTGTTTAGAGTTTATATAAAGATTAATTGAAGATCAAATGCTTTTTTTTTTTACTTTGAATAATTAGTTCAAGGTTGGGTTGTTGCAAATCACAAGTTGTCAAAGTGTCTAGCTTCTAATGATAATCCAAACAAACTATTAGTGATAAGTCTCATAAATTCTTTTAGGAGAGAAAGATTCCTATACCTTTAAGTGTAAGCTCTTTTCTTTTAAGTTTAGGAATTTCTGTATTGTACTATTGTAACAAAAAATAAAAAACATGACATTTTATTTATAAGAAAACTTGAAAGCTTTATAAATCAAAAAAATATCAATGTGCCCCTTAAATAATATCATATATATTATTTTAGAATAATTTTAAAACTTTATTCAATCAAGTCCCTACTTAATTTTTTCTAGGTCAAGAATTGTAGTCTTTTATATTAATTGCATTTTAGTCCTTAATTTCTAGAATTTATTTACAATCATATCACACTTGATTAATCATCCCATTTTAATTTCTAACAAATTGTTATTATATGTGTGAACAATTAGGTTCCTAATAAGTTGACCCAAATATAAATTATAATTCTAAATAAAATAAAATAAAATTCAACAATTGAATTTGTTATCAATTCAACAATTGATTGATTTATATTTGAAGATCAAGTATAATGTCTAGCAACTTGTCATGATTCCCTAAATATTAAAAAAATCATAAGTGATTTGATTTAATTTTTTAGTGACTAGTTTTTCAGTGTAACTATTATTCTTTCATCAATAATGTTTTGATGTAGATATTATAACATGAAGTAAGTCTACTTAGTTAAATTATTTTAGTTCTCAACACTACAGTTATTGATTCTTTGTATAAGATTTGAAACTCTTTTCAAATCTCATTCTTCTTTAGCTAAAGATTTTATAGTCAATACTATTTGAAACCAAATAAAATATTTTTACTAATTCACTTAGGGTGATGAATCTTCTCTTGATTACTCAAATACTTGCATATAATTTATGTTATAACCAATATTTACATGTTTGTTACCCTTGATTAGGATAAAATATGATCAAGATCAAAACATAACACTCCTTGTATAATATAACTTAGTGATCTCAATTTTAAGGATTGCGTAACTATCCCAATTTCTAAGTGATCTATTTATTTGAAATTATCTTACAGGTTAGTTTAGTATACATGTCATTTGAGAAGTATCTGCATATTAGTTTCAAATATCCCTCATATCTCAATTTATGAGGGCAATTGCTTCTTTTTGTAAAGGAATGAACGTAACATACACCAATCTTAACAACTCTAATTATTGTCCAGTCTAAATAGAATATTGATAAGGAACATTTAGGAACAATGTTTTGAAGTAATATAAATATTATAATTATAATAATTTTATAATTTTTTATGCAAAACATCTTGTCTATGTACATAGATTAAGACAATATCATTTTTTTTTATCAATAATACACACACACACACACACACAAACTAAATCCACTCCCATTAACTTTTTTATAAACAAAAGGTTCCTTCATATCTTTAATGAAATTAAATTGTTAGATTATCTCATCAAAACATATATTCCAACTTCTTGAAGCTTGCTTAAGTCTATAAAGGAATTTTTATAGCTTGAATATTTTATTGGTAAATCTTTTAGATTCAAAACTTTTAGATTGTGTCTTTTACAGATCTTTGTAATGATTTTCATTTAGGAATGCAACTTTAAAATCCATTTGTCAAATCTTATAATCATGGTATGGAACTATAACAAATAAAATCCTTATGAATTTTCACATAGCTATTGGTGAGAAGGTTTTATCAAAATCAACATCTTGTCTTTGTTTGTAACCTTTGACATCTAGTCTAGTTTTGTATGTTTATACATTGTCATCCATATAAGTCTTTCTCTTAAATACTCATTTATATTTAATGAGTTTTATCTCTTTAAGTGGATTAACTAAAGTACATACCTGGATGGCATAGATAAAATTCATTTTAGATTTCATGGATGTAAATCATTTCTCATAATCAATATTAGATATTGATTTCATATATTCAATAGGCTCATCAAGTATGAGCAACTAATCATAATTAGCTTCCACAAGAAATTAATATCTTAATAGTGTATTAGGTGTCCTACTAGGCCTATGGTGTTTTTATGTTTTTTAGTCTTAGACTGAACATGAAATGTTAGCCTAAAGCTCTAGCTCTATTTAGATGTTAATTTATGATTTCTAAACTTTTTTAAGTTATATTTTTCTTTTACCTTTCCTTTCAAGAACAAATTATTTCTTTAAAAATGTAGCATATTTTAAGATAAATATCTTTTGCTCAAAAGAATGGTAGAAATAATATCCAATTGATGTTTTTAAATATTTAACAAACTTATAATTATCTAACTTAGTTCCTAGCTTTTAAGAAACTATATATTTCACATAAGATGTGTATCTTAAATCTTTAAGTATGATAAGTTCAGTCTCTTATCATTTCATATCTTATATGCATTCTCGTCAATAAAAGAATATTTTGTGGTTTGGTTTTGAACAAAAATTCCAAAACAAAATGAATATTGTTTTTTTGAAAATTTAACCCAAATTGAATCAAATAAAAGAACAAAATCAATTGATTTGGTTTAGTTTTTATATTTTTAAAAGCTGAATAAGTCTAATTTAATTTAAGAGTATTTAGATGGGTTAATTTTTTCAATGAGCTTAATTTATAAAAGTTTTTGTTTGATTTTTTTTTCTAAAATCTGAAACAAAAGCAAGCCAAATCTTAAGTTTTTTAAGAGTTTTTTAACATACATTATTCAAAAGATTCAAACAATCATTCCGTGTGATTAATTTTAAATCATTTTTGACAAATATCCCAAATAATTCAATTGATTTGCTCAACCCTAGTCTATTTCATGAAAATGCTATTTCACAGTGTGTGATTATCTCATAATCATTATTAAAATATAATTACCCAAAATATAGATTATCTTGGTATAGCACATGTTCGTAGTTTCTGGAGCATGCCAAACATTGTGTTCCCCAGAACAGGTGC